GTGAAGGTCACCTTCAATTTCTTAAATAAAAACCTCTATTTTTCATTGCATATTCTTGAGCTTACCTCGAGAGATTTCCAAAACACTATAATAAAATATTTTTTTCATTAAGCATCTTTCGAGTTAAAAGGCTTCAAAGTTACAATATTGTTGTCATTAGGATTGGTATCCAAGGTGTTAGTCCGACAGCTGAAACTTGAATGTTGTTCGGGGCCATGATCTTGACAACATTTGTCAAGGACAGGGCGATTAGAGGCTGTTCCTAATATTTTCATTTTTTCAAATGTTACAGTGAAAACAAAAATAATTTAAAATCATGGGGTAACATGTGGAGTCCGATTGACTCTAAAGGATTATATGAAGGTCATAATGCTTTGTATCCAGGGTCAAGCCAATTGCACCATCTTATGTCCCCCTCTAAACCATATAACTTATGTTTGAAATATTTTTCCGTATCTTCCATATTTTTCGAGATATTTGCCGGGTGTATATCAGTTGGACACGGGACAATTGGACACAGTCCAATCACAAGTCGCTGTTCCAAGGGACCCTACAAATGTCTCTAATCACACGGTGCTGTGATTGGCTGTGTCCAAATGCACCGTGTCCAAGTGCACCGCTCCCATATTTGCCTGGTTCGATTAAAATGACTCACCCTGCATATATATTTATAAATTAATAGATTATTATTGTATACAATTGTATAATTTTAATGTTTCTGTTTTGATACGTCATGATATCATTCATGTTTGTGGCATAATTCTTTGCAGTGGAATCATTTTGGCAACATCGTTAAATATGGAATAAAGTCTGTGCAAGATTGAAGACAAGTTTACATAAGTTTATACAAGGAAAATAGTACAAGAAATAAATGGATAACAAATATCAGATAAATAATTAATATTCATATATATATATATATATATATATATATATATATATACATATAATAAAAAATTAATTATCTACGTGCTGTCTGTGACTGCGAATATTGTTGGACCGATTTTTTCCTTTAATTCATTTTCTTGTTTTAGCTTTGCAGCAAACCATGTGCTTGCAGAACGTTTATAGTCAGAAAACAATCTCCTGCGAGGTAATCCTCGTATTCATTAGTCTGTTGATTTTAGTTCTTTCAACAAACAAGATATGTTACCTATATTCGCATATGTCACAATTTTATTATTATGATTTCAGAAACGCCCTCCATTTCTGAAATCACAATCTCAAATCACAATAATAAAATTGTGACATATGCGAATATAGATAACATATCCTGTTTGTTGAAAGAAACCAAAATCAACAGACTACAAGGGTAATGAATACCAAGAAGGCTTGTCGAAGGCATCAATGAAAGAAAGATTGGAAAATATATTTCACAAACCTGCTTTTGGTTTGTTACATCAATCTTTCTACTGGTGACAAATATACTTTTATATCCTATGTTAGATATAATTTCAAATGTTTTTGACCAGTACATGGTTAACTGAGAGGCTAAAATAACAAAATTAATTACAAAGCAACAATTAACACAACAATGTGTGCAATTATTCACAGCATATAGGTACTTAGTACTTTTTTTATGTAAATATAAGTTATTTATCTGATATATGTTCCTTTATTATCCATTTACTTCTTTATGTGTTCCTTATTTCATGTTGTATAGACTTTATTCCATAGGTGACGATGATGGCATATTGATTCTGGTGCAAAGAACTATACAGCAGGAACGATGTGCATCAAGGCTCACACTTTGGCAACTTTATCCCGCAGAAGATTGTTCTCTGACTATAAATGTTCTGTAAGCATATGATTTGCTGCAAAACTGAAACAAGAAAATGAATTAAAGGAAAAAATCGGTCCAACAATATCCGCAGTCACAGACAGCACGTAGATAATTAATCTTTTATTATATGTATACATACATACATATACAGGGTGAGTCATCTGAATCTATCACCTCCAATAACTCGTTTGTGTGGCCAGGAATCGAAAAAAGTTTCATATAAAAGTTGTAGGGTTTCGAGGGGGAACCAAAATGGCGTACCTTTCAACTTTTGATTTTGACCGAAAGTGGGTTACTTCAACCGGAAGTGGTTTTTTTAAAATGGAAACCCCCCTTTTTGACACCGGAAAATGAAAAAGCGGAAAATTTTACGTTCAGATATAACTTTGGCTGTTTTAAAATTTTCAAGATGGCGGAC